ATGAATGAATGAATGAATGAATGAATGAATAGACGATGAATAGATAGACAGCATTCGCTGGAAAATAAAAGTTTCTGCCAAACGCTTGCCAAATTAATAAATGTCGTGAATGAAGAAATGATGATTATAACGTCTATCGTTATTCATCATAATTTTTCATTGTAGTACTAGCAGTAGCCGCAGCAGCAACAGTAGTAGTAGTAGTAGTAGTACTAGTAATAGTAGTAGTAGTAGTAGTACTAGTAGTAGTAGTACTAGTAATAGTAGTAGTAGTAGTAGTACTAGTAGTAGTAGTAGTAGTAATAGTAAAAATAGTAGTAGTAGTAGTAGTAAAAATAGTAGTAGTCGTAAAAGTAGTAGTAGTAGTAATAGTAGTTGTAGTGATAGTAGTAACTCTTATTAAACGCGAGAGAATACTTCATAAATATTCATAATCAAAGATATTAAAATACATCTGTGCACGACGAAAAGACAGCAGAAAAACAAAGAATGAAAATTATAAAAAAAATAAAAAAATAAACAAAGGTCACGAAATAAAAAATAATAATAATAGTAAAAATACAAAGAACAACGGACGACACGAAGAATAAAAATAAATACTAAATAAACACAGATCATAAAAATAACAGGACATAAAAAAAGAAAGAAAAACATTTGACTCGGGCTTATGTATAATTCATCCTATCGCTTGGCCCGTCATGTGATTGCTGCAATACCACAATACATACCCAATGTTGCCCGTGTATTTTGCGTATTGGTACGTATATGTCTGTATGTATGTGAGTAAGTGCGTTTGTATGTGTGTGAGTGTGTGTATATGCGTGTGAGTGCGTGCCTGTATGCGTGTGAGCGTGCTTTAACAGATATATTTGTTTATTTATGTATATTCCAACAGACGCCATACATATGGGTGTCTGTCTAAATGAAGGAATGACGCGCTTATATTTGCACTTGCATTATTTCTTCCATCATTCAATCATTCAATCAATCAATCAACCGATTGATCAATCAATCAATCAATCAGTCAATCTATTAATCAATCAATCAATCAACCGATTAATCAATCAGTCAATCGTTATTTATTCTTCTGCCTGCTCGTTTCATTTTTTATTTTGTTCCACGTGGTTTTGTTTCTAAATTTCCCACAATAATCATTTCTTTCATCCGTTTGTTTCATATCAATCGATCATTCGTTCGTTCGTTCGTTCAATCATTCATTTACTAATTCATTCACTTAATTTGCATCTATTCATTTTTTAATGCATTCATTAATACATTTATCAATTTTTTTATTAATTAAATTGTTTATTTATTTTTTTTCCATAACTCGGCTACCTAATAAAATACTCTGATGGCGACATGTTTTCCTTCCTTCATTCGTTCATTCATTCATTTGCTTCTTATACTTTTTTTTATTCGTTAAATCTTCCACTCACTCATCCATTCACTTATTCATTCATACGATTAAACTTTCATCCTCCAGCTAATCCATCCGTCCATCCATTTTACTGCTCATTCATATTCATTTAAAAAAAAGTAAAATACCTAATCCTCTTTCTTTTCTATCTTTCTCTTTTTTCCACTATCTTTTCTTGTCCTCTCTCTCTTTCTCTTTCTCTCTCTCCTTCCCTCATTTTCTTTCATTATCTTATTGTTTCTATCTCCTTCTATCTCTCTTTATCCCCATTCTCCTTTCTTTTTTCTCTGTTTCCTTCCTCCTCTTTGTTACTTTCTCTCGTTCTCTTTCTTTCTCTTTCTCTCTTTCTTTCTTTCTCTTTCTCTCTGTAACACTTTTTTCACCTCTTTCTCTTTCTCTTCCTTTTTATCTTCTATTTCTCTATATCTCTCCTTTCATTTCTTCTGCCATTCAACGGCTCACATAATTTCTATTTACTTCTCAAGATGATAAACGCGTGCCAAAAATTCTTCGGCACTAACACACACACACACATGTATATGTGTGTGCACACACACACATGTATATGTGTGTGTGTTTCTGTGTGTGTGAGAGTGTGTGTGTGTTTGAATGTGTGTGTGTTTATATGTATAGGATATTTAAAAATATGTTGGTGTTGCTTTGATAGATTATTTTAATATTTTATTGAGTTCTTTAAAATCATGTGGGTAGATTGATAATGTTCTTTGTTATCTTCGTCAGTTTCATTCATGTATCGTTGTTGTTGTTGTTGTCGTTTTAATGTTATTTTTGATTTGTTATTGTTATGTTATTATTATTACAATTATTTTTATTATGTTGTTGTTGTTTTTGTTGTTTTTAAAATAATCGGAAACATTTTAATTGCCATTATTCATTAAAATTTTCAATGAGATTATCAAAAATTAGTTCACTAAATATCGCCACACCAATTATTTTCTTCATACCTGATTTTGCGTGTATTTCAATCCAGAAATTTTTCCATCACTTTTTCACGTTATGATCTAACTATTTTGTATTTATATTCAGAATTCCAAATAACCCACACAAAAGAACTGTGCGAAACTCAGAGCTTTAAAGCGTCTTGCACACCCCTCGTTGCGGCTACTTCTAAAAGTGGACCCGCCCAGCAAACAGGCATGGTGGTCGTCATGGTAACGGCCAAATATGGACGGATGAGAAAGGGGGAGTGTTTGAAGGAATCCAATTTGGTGGATTCCTCGTGCCAGGTCGATGTCCTGCCATACTTCGATAGGCAATGCTCTGGAAGAAGGTCGGTTGGTTGGTTAGATGGTTGGATGGTTGGTTGGTTGGTCGGTCGGTTGGTTGGTCGGTTGGTTGGTTGGTTTAGTTGGTTGGATGGTTGGTCGGTTGGATGGTTGGTTGGTCTGATGACTGATTGGCTGACTGGCTGCTTGCTTGATTTGTTTGACATATTGTTTTTTTTATTTTCAATTTATTTTGTCCCTATAGATTTTTTTTCTATAAAGTTCTTGATTTAAACAAAAAATCACTATTCCATTTATTATATTTTTTTTATAAATTTCACTTCAACTTAAATTAAACGCAAATATATAAGCAAACAACTAAAAACAAAAACCCTAAAAAAACATTTAACCTTCGTGAAGGTCATGCGAGGTCAAGGTCAACTCAATAATGGATTTCCTCGTGGAGAAGAGCAAGGGCAGATACGCCTGCCTGCAATCCATCAGAGGTTTCCTCGAGGCCTCATACGTCTGTGTACCTAGTACGTTTCTTTGGCTGTGTATCGTGTGTGTGTGTGTGTGTGTGTGTGTGTGCGTGTGTGTGTGAGTGTGCGTGTGTGTGTTTGCGTGGCGTATTAAATTTTTTCAAATAAACATACAACATACAAAACGTACAACAATCAATAGCCTGTAACGTACATACAAAAACAACAGCACTTTCAACAAACAACAACATACAAAAACATACAACAAACCACGGCATGCAACATGCAAACACAAACAGCAGTTACGGGAGCATACAATACAACAAACAAAAACTTACAAATCTACACATATACAAATGTTGTACACAAGCATTTTGCACGCACATAGATTACTTACTTGCGTACTTTGACACTGGGCAGTGCGCCTGAAAACGATAAATTTTTAGTTGGCACCCACAGTCAGAAACATTAAATTACAAAAATGAACCGTCGCGACAACATGGCGTTTCTCTTCCTGTCTGAAGTATTTTTAAAACTTTCCACGACCCAAAATAACTACAACAAATGAAAAATATGACAACCTGCTCTGGTGACAGCACACAACTAAACGACAACTATATAGGTGACACAGAAATCTGTGCCTACCAGCAAAAACACACAACAGTTAATTTACATTAACAAAGCAACACAAAAAATACAATGACTACAATTTCAACCAAAAAAAAACAACAACAAAGAGACAATCACGACAACAACTTTCAAAATAAATCAAAATCTCGTTGACAACAACGAAAATGTCTCTTACAACAGCAACATAACATCATCAGCGACTGTATCTCATCACCAAAGCACAACAATTACATCAACACAACAACATCAACCTCAAAAACAACAACCACAACAACAACTTCAAACACAACAGCTTCAACAACAACAGTAATGCGGTCCGACAAGAGATTTATAATCAATGCTCCGAATTATTTATCAAATCAGTATAATAAGTACACATGACAAGTACATATTTACAAGTCAACTTGAGTACAATGTACTTGACTCCCGACAACCAAGAATGATGTACCATGCGCCTAAAACATGACAGCAACAACAAAAACAACACAACAACAACAATAACAATAATAATAAAAGCAATAATGTCAACAACATCACATCAACGCCACGACAAAAATTCATCATCAACATTGCATTAAGAACACAGATCAAACTTAAAAAAATAAAACAACGAAGAACACCACTTCAATGACAGCAAGATTTTGACACTAACACGACAAATGCATCAACTAGAAAAAAAAACTGAAAAATATAATGATGTCTTTCCATAAACACAATTGAAACACTCTGAAAGTAATGCAATAAACATCACAGCAACAACAGCTAATACTGCTACTCTACTACTACAACTACTGCTACTGCTACTACTACTACAATAACAACAACAACAACTACTACTACTACTACTAATACTACTTCTACTACTACTACTACAACTACTGCTACTACTACTACCTACTACTACTGCTACTGCTACTACTACTACTACTACTACTACTACTATTACTACTACTACTACTACTACTACTACTGCTACTACTACTACTACTACTACTACTACTACTACTACTACTATTACTACAAATACAATTGCTGTTGCTGCTACTAATATTACTACTACTATTACTACTACTACTACTAGTAGTAGTAGTAGTAGTAGTAGTAGTAGTACTACCATCACCACAGGTACTCAACAACAACAAACGCTTGTTTATTTATTGTTATGGTTGTCATTTTTATGCCTCCCTTAGACCCACCAGAACCTACTTCTTTACAAATTTATTATTATTTTTATTATTATTGTTGTTGTTGTTGTTGTTATTGTTGTTGTTATTCTTATCAGTAGTTGTTGTTTTTTTATTTTTGCTTCGTATTTGGAGCTAAAGTCCAGAAAATCTTACAAACTGGCAATATTTCGGTGAATTAAGTGTCACCTCATTCAATTTGTCAACCTACTAACTTATCAAGTCATCAATCAATCAATCAATCAATCAATCAATCAATCAATCAATCAATCAATCAATCAATCAATCAATCAATCAATCAATCAATCAATCAATCAATCAATCAATCAATCAATCAATCAATCAATCAATCAATCAATCAATCAATCAATCAATCATTCATTCATTCATTCATTTAATCATTCATTCATTCATTTAATCATTCAATCATTCAATCAAATACAAAATCAGTCATGTAATCAATCAATCAGTCAGCCATTCAGTCAAAAATTCACTCCTTCAATCCATCAACAAATCAACTGACCATCATTCCATTCAGTTGTCTCCCGCGAGTCGCAGGCCTGCTACAATTACAACAACATCAACAACAATCAACAACATCATCATCAAATTACTCATTCCAAACAACAACAACAACAGCAACAGCAGCAACAACAACAAAATCCTTCTCACGTAATTTTGACGCGAGAAAATAGCGTGGGATACCTCGGCAACGTGGCCACGGAAGAGACGGGGTGTGGATTGGAAAGCAGTCCCTGGGTCTTGATGGCCCCCCGCGGTCAAAGAATATTTTTACAGCTGATAGATTTCTCGGTAGATAGTTCTGAAGAGAAGAAACATGGTGAGCAGACGCACTGTCAGATGTTCGCTGGTGTTAAAGACAGGTTAGTTTGTCATGTTCGTAAGTCAGTTGGTTGGTCAGTTGGTTGTTCATTTGGTTGGTCAGTTGGTTGGTCAGTTGGTTAGTCAATTGGCTAGTCAGTTGGTTGGTCAGTTGGTTGGTCAGTTGGTTAGTCAATTGGCTAGTCAGTTGGTTGGTCAATTGGTTAGTCAGTTGGTTGGTCAGCCAGTTGGTCAATTGGCTAGACAGTTGGTTGGTCAGTCAGTTGGTTAGTTGCTTGGATGGTCAGTCTATTGAAAAATTAATCGGTTGGTTAGTGGGATGTGGTTGGTTAACGGAAAATGAATTGATTGATTGATTGAAAAATAATGAAGAAATAAAAGAATGAAAAATAGAGTGCTTGATAAATTAATTAGGTATAATTCAATTTGAATGAAATACAATCGTAAAATATGAATGCACAAAGTATGAATTAGTAAAAAAAAGAGAGAAAATGAATGAAAAAGCACAAAAATTGAACCGATGAATAAGTGATTTGACATGTTGGCTGGTGGTTGGCTGTTTGACGTGAAGGCGCATGAATTAATTGCTTAATAGATTTAAGAACGTCACACACACATACACACACACACATCTACACACGAATAAAACACACATCCACACACACACACATACTCACACACACACACACGCATATTCACACACAATTAAAGACACATTCACACGTCTACACACAAATACAAATGAAACACACAAATAAAACACACATTCACGCACATCCGAACACACATTCACGCACATTCACACATCTATACACACAATCACACACATTCAAACACACATCTACCACAAACACACAGCAATGTGGCAAGTTTCAACACGATTTGCGCCAACGAGCGCAAACATTCAAACGTCTTTGCCTCTCAGTCCGACACGGTCCTCCTACTCATACACGCCGCTGCTTATCATCCACCATCTTCTCGTAATAATAATAATAACAACAACAACAACAACAACAATAATAATAATAATAATAATGGTGCTGTCGAGAAAAAATCACCTCCAGTTTATTTCCTTTTGAAATATGCCCGTGAGTTTTATTGATTTCTGATTGGCCGTTTAGCGTCCGTTGGCTGTTTTCCGATTGGTTCTTGATTATTTGTTTGGTGTTTGTTTTCTGGTTGGTTGTTTAATGTTTGTTAGTTGATTTCTGACTGGTTGTTCATTTGTTTGGCGTTTGTTGGTTGGTTGAATTTTGATTGAATAATTTTAAGGTTTAATTTATGATTTGATTAATTTTTCAAATACTTTCACAACTAGTTGATTGGTTAAGGCGTGAATATGGTTCACCATCGTAGACATCATAACAAACACAGCCATCATCATCATGAACTTCATCATCAACACGAGCGCAACCGACATCATCATCATCATCATCATCATCGTGACAACCTCAGTGCAGGGATGTGCGGATATAGTGGCGTCTCCGGGACAGTGGGTTCAAAGGATGGGATCGGTCACGTGGACTGGATGTAATGGGACTTCAGAGAAATTCCAATTCACCTGCGAAAGAGATCGGTGGATTAGTGAGGATCGCCGCGCGTACGACCAAGGGGGGTCCAATATAGCGGACTTGGATTGTTCATCTAGCTGGGCAGGTCGGTTTCTACAACATGTCTGTTTTTCTTTGAGTGTACATTTCGCTTGTGTGTAGGCGTTTTAATATGTGTGAGTGAGTCGTGGGGATCGGATCTGATAGAAGCCGGTTAATCGAACCACTGCATTTTCTTCCTCTCTCCCTCTTCTTTTTCTATTTTTTTCTTTTTCATTAATTTTTTTTCTCTCTCTCTTTCTTTCTCTTGTAGTTTGTGCCTAATTTTATGCTGATTGCTAGGTTGTTTATGCGAGAGCTTAATATTTTTTTCATAGAAGTTTTTACATGAAGTGCATCTGACAGCAATTATTTCATTGTGTGTTGTGTGTTGTTGTCTGTGTCGCATGATTTGGGATCTAGGCAGTTTAAGATGACAATCAATTGAAGAGTTGGATGCTACCATTGTTACCATTGGGCTGTCGGCGTTTTGTGATCATTTTTCTTATGCATGTCAATAAAATGTATTTGTTTTTGTCATCGTCTTATCGTCGTTATAATGTTTATCATCATAAATTTCATCGTCATCGTCATTAAATGTTGTCCAAAAATTATTTTTTGTAAGTCAGATTAAAAGTTAATTTCAGTTTAGGAATCCATTTTGAAGCAATTATCGCTCAATTAAATTTATAAATAACTTTTATCTCTTACGTGTTTATAATTTTCCACCGATGATGATAATGATGAGTACAAAGATGATGAAGATAATCATGATAATGATTACGACGATAATGGGGATGATGATGACGATGATGATGGCCCTGGTGATGAGTACTACACTAAAATGATATTAGAGATAGGTAATGATGATGGTGATTTGAAAATAGCTACTGTTATGATGATAATTATTATCACCATCACCATTTTCATCATCATCATCATCAATACCACTGCTATCATCATCATCAGCATTATCATCATCGCCATCATCGCCATCATTTTCATCTTTCCAATTAGTTCAACAATTAAAACGTTAACGATGCTAAAACTAAAATCCAGTCGTGATCAAGGGGAGGATGGTGATGAGGATGATGATAATGATGATGATGATGATGATGATGATGATGGTGATAAAGACAATGATGGTGATGATGAAAAAGATGTGACAATGATTATAAGATAGACTATGATAGATCAATAAATCAAAAAATGAATAGTTTTAAAAAATGAATAGATAGGCGGACGAATGGATGGATAAATAGATAGATGGATAAATGGATGGATGGATGGATTGATAGATAGATAGATAGATAGATAGATAGATAGATGGATGGATTGATAGATAGGTGAGCAAGTAAATGGATACCTGGATAGATGATTTATTTAATGATTTAATTAAAAGAAAGACAGATAACTGGGTAAATGTGATTGAATGATTGGGCGATGTGATTGATAGATGGATAGATGAATGAATGAATGAATGAATGAATGAATGAATGAATGAATGAATGAATGAATGAATGAATGAATGAATGAATGAATGAATGAATGAATGAATGAATGGTTAGATGAATGGACGAGTAAATGGAAAGATGAATTATTGAATGAATGGGTGGATGAATGAATGGGTGAATGAATAAATGAACGAACGAATGAATAAATAAAGGAATGAATGAATGGGTGAATGAATGAATGAATGAATGAATTGAATGGATGATTGAATGAATGAATGAATGAATGAACGAACGAACGAATGAACGAACGAACGAATAAATGAATGAATGAATAGATGGATAGACGAGTTGATTGATGGATGGACGTGATGGATTTGTGCAATGTAGCAAACGCATTGAAATGGATTAGTTTATCGTAGTCGTCAACCTCAATTATCTTCCGACCATCTTTCATTTTAAAATATTTTTTGAAGTGTTTCTGGATGTTGCTGCTGTTGTTGCGAATGTTATTGTCATTGTTGTTGTTGATGATGTTTGTGTTGTTGTTGTTGATGATGATGATGATGTTGTTGTTGATGATGATGATGATGATGTTACTGTTATGTCAAAATCTTAACTTAAATGACATATTAAAGAAACGTTCACTAGAATTAACCAAATTTCCAATTTGGAGATGAATGTGTTCATCCATCCATACATTTATCCATCTATGCATGCATTAATTCGTATTCACGTATACCCATCTATCCAATTAGTTATCCATTCATCCAACCATTTGCTGATGAACGAATTTATTCTTTGATATTCTATCTATCTACTATTTGTCAACCCATCCATCTATCTATCTATCTATCTACTCATCCATCATCCACCCATTCATTCATTCATTTGTTCATTTATTCATTCACCCATTCATTCATTCATTCATCCACCCATTCATTTAATAATTCATCTTTCCATTTACTCATCCATTCATCCACCCATTCATCCACCAATTCATCCATCCATCCACATTTGTTTTTCTCATATTTCTCCTCTCTTCTCAGACCTCAAAACGAGACATCTTGTCCAATCTCTTGCAATTACCTTGTCACATCGCATCATGTGCGTCCGAACAGGTCTATTTATTGTCCATCTATGTATGTTTTTCTATAATTGTATACAGCTTTTTTGTATTTTTTACATGTTTTGTGTACGCGTATACAATTTTTTTGGTATTTTCACGTGTTTTGTATAAAAGTATACAATTTTTTCAGCATTTTTTACATGTTTTGTATAAATGCATACAATTTTTTTTATGAATTTTTCAAATTTATTCTGTTGATATATATATATATACATGTTTTTGTATTCTATATATACATGTTTTGTTTAAAGGTTTAAACGTTTTTTATATTGTATACGCATAGAAGGTTAGCATAGTTTATGTATTATGTAGGCATAGGGTATTGTATGTATGTATGTATTTATATATATATATGTGTGTCTTTCATTGTACATTGCATTGTATTGTATTGTGTTGTATTGCATTGCATTGCATTGCATTGTATTGCATTGTAATGTATTGTATTTTATTGCATTATATTGTATTGTATTGTATTGTATTGCATTGTATTTTATTGTATTGTATTGTATTGTATTTTTTTATGCATCGTTTTGTATTCTGTTCATTATTTGTTTCAATCATTGGAGCTTAGTATGATAGAACCTCAATTTAGCGGGAAGTTATTTGCCGTACCTGCTCATGTGTGAATATCTTTCTACTAGGATGATGACGATGATTATGATGCTGATTATGATGATGATGGTGGTGATGATTATGATGATGGTGGTGCTGATTATGATGATGGTGGTGCTGATTATGATGATGAAGGTGGTGATGATTGCAGTGATGATGATGAAGATGATGATGATGATGA